GTTAGCCAAATGCCTGAACAGATCACGCAACAAAACTAGAAAGTACTGTTTAAGTTGCTGCTATGTTCGAGTTAAGTTTCTGGAAAGTTCCCAGGACATGCTTGCTACGTTTTATCCAAATGCTAACCAAATAAGAAGTATCTGTTTATGTTGTCCAAGCTATGTGTCAACTTTTTGAAGTGAAAACTTCTTATGGCACGTTGGGCACTTTTGTGGGTGAGTATTTTCAGCCGTTCTCGCGACAGACGAGATTTTACACAGATATACTCCACGTGTATTCTTGTAATATATGTATACTATACGCGCTCTTTGCATGGGCAATCGTTCGTGCTCTCACGGCAGACGAAATTACATGCCTATATGTATACTTAGAGTGTATAGGTATGCAAGAGCGCTGCATGCTATACGCAATAGTGTTGATCTGAGCATTGTTCCACGGTCACAGTTCATGCTTGATCGCACGTAGCACCGCTGCCTGGATCTTACCACGAACTATTTGGCGCAAGAATTCAAATTCAAAATCGTATGATTTTTTCAGCAGACAGTAGGTGCAGAAATTCAAATTCGAAAGAAATCTTTGTATGTATTGGCTAGTTAATGCCTAAAAATATTGGATAATGTTGTATGATTACATACATAAATAGTATACCAAGAATTCTTTCGAATTTGAATTTCCGCGCTTACTGTCTGTTGAAAAAATCATACGATTTTGAATTCGAATTCTCGTGCGAAGTAGTTCTCGGTGGGATCCAGTCAGCGGCGCTATGTGCGATCAAGCATAAACTGTGAGCGTGGAATAATGCTTAGACCAACGCTGATACGCAGTCTTTGCATGGGCATTCGTTCGTGCCCTCGTGACAGACGAGATTGAGAGTTTTTTATATTTATTTTATAAATGAGTATTAAATGGAAAAATCATTTATTAAAATATTTCATTTGACTTGTGTTGCTGCTATGGTATTGTGTTAAAAAAATTGATAAATTTTGTATTTACTATTTACTAATATTTACTCATTTAAATAAAACCACTTCCTTCGAATATAGTTTCTATATTATTATACTTCATGTCCATTCAAAAAGTGCCCACATTGCTTTGATAAACTTGATTTTTTATGTACAATTTCTCATGTCGCGAGCGCACCTAAAAATGCTCACCCAAAAAGTGCCTAACGCGCCATAAGTTCAAGTTTTCACTTCTGCTTGCACTCCCAGAGTGCTTTGTTTTATTACTTTTTAGCATATTTTAATAATTTTTTATACACTGTGGAGCCTTCAACTCTTACATTGGTTGGAGCAAATACACTTGAAAATTTTGTTCACATCTCCCAATACACTAATAAAAACATAATTCTTCTGCGTCTTTTTTCCATGATTTTGATGTAAAACATCTTATAGCTGGCAGTGAACAGACGTGTGAGGAGAATTACACTACGAAAAGTATCATCCACTTATCTATTGTCATTCACCTCACCACTGGGGCCTCTTCTCTCTCTTTCTCTCTCTCTCTCTCTCTCTCTGTCTCTCTATGTACATACAAACGATGGAACTTGTATATCTAGATATACGGTAACTATAACTATATCATCATGTATTTATTCGCTATGAGACGCGACTACTAGTGCCGAAGAGTCCTTACAAAAGTGAATAACGTGGCTAAAGTTGAAACTAAAACTTTTACCATTTTACGTATTCAAAAGAAAACTGCAAAAATTTAGCGCCATTCTACAACGTAAAAAAGCATCATGCGGCAATAACTGGAACTTAAACCTCTCACTCGCGTCTCATGACGAATAGCTTTTTTGTAAAGTGTGCTACCCGTATATATAGCTACTTAAAAAGGGATGTATATTGTAACTTAACACACACTCTCACACACACGTGCGTGCGTGTGTGTGGGTGATACACAATATATGTTATAATTTTTTTTTAAATCTTACTGACTCTGAGAATCATACCCACATCTTTCAGATTGGTAGTCGGGAGCCTGATCGATTGTGCTACGCAGAACGCCAATATAATTTTTGTTCTTTTTACTTACTTATACTAATCCTTAAACTTTTGAATTAGAAGATGAATTTATAATTAAATGTTTTTTATATTACTTTTTGCTCTGACTGCTGATTGGGAATAAAATAGTTGTAATTATTTCTGAGTGGACGAATAATGCTAAGATTGCGTTTTAACAATTGTTTTTCTCATATCTCGTATCTGTTTGAGATAGAGAAAAAAAGTACTAGCGTGTGGAATACTTAATTTTTTATCGACAAGTAGCGAATGCAACAATTTAAACGAATGCAAAATGATGAGAAAAAAATAGAAAAATGCATTTAGACAATACTTCTAAGAGTAAGTGGTATAGAGAAATCCATTGATCGTCTGCTGTCACGCTGGTTTTCTCTATTTTACTCATAAAGATAGGCTTTTTTTTTGCTTTTCTTAAAATTTTACACTTGTAAGGAGTAATGTAGTGATACTAAAATTGTTACTATTGTTTTCATCATTTTTTAAAAATTAACAGTATTATTTTAAAATATTAATATTTGAACGTAATTCAAAGTTTTCCCGTGGTTTTCCAATTTTGTTCACTTGAACTCCATCTTAACCTGCCCTTAGTAGAGGGCAAACGAGATTCACGGACGATCGCAACTACGCCCTGCAGGTTTACATTTGCAATAAATTTCTAATAATTGACTTTTTATAACTCAACAATAACAAAACGTAAATTAAAGTAAAATAGTCATCTACGAAAGTGGTCGATTTTTTTTCTAGTTTCACAGTCTTTATAGTTTTGCTTTTCTTTCATTGTTGCACTACTTGTCGTTTTTACTATACCATTAACTTTTGTCACTATTTTATTGGTATCTGCTGACTGTGCAGAAAAATTACAATCAATTTCTTGTTATATTCCTAAACAATCTGTGATTAATGTAATTTACAAATAACTGAAAAGGTATGTTCATTGTCTTTTTCTTAACCTCCTAATTAAAATGTATAACAAGCTTATAACAAGATTTTAACTTTTCTTTGACTGTCCACTTACGAGTCATCTTTTCAATCATACTGCTTAGAGGTGTGATACATATTGGTAACGGTACGTATGTTATTAATATACTAATAACAATTACTTTGAATGACGAGCAAATACACACAAAACTCTTGTGAGAAAATGAAGTATGTCTTTTTTTAGTGTACATTATTGTTACGCACAGCAACAGCGTACATACTTATTTTGTGCTAGGTTTTGCTTTATCTAAAAACAAGTATTGTTACCTTAACATTACCAGCAATAACCCTGTTGACAGTTTTCACTGCTCACCAACGAAGTTCAATGATAATGTGGCCATGCCTTGCATTTATGCAGGTATGCCATAGCATTTCAACATTATTTGGGAGTAGTTCAGAACGTTTCTCCTAATCGCCTTTTATTGAAAAACTTTTTGTCCTAAGACATCAATTTTAACCCGATTTGCTTGAAAAAAAATCTCTTTACACGCTGTTCTCAGAAAAGGTTACTGTTATATATCAGCTTACATATGCTTTTAATTTTTTCACCTTCGAAAAATGAAGCTATTGTTATTTCATAATACGTTACATAGAATACCAATTATTACATGACTCTTTGATGACCATGCGTGCTTTCAATAGCTCAATAAATATATATTTGTTGTTTGCCCTGGCTCTATTAGTTAACTACTAATGTTAAGCCACCATAGTGGGTCAATACAACCAAGATTTATTGTATTGCATATTAAAGCATAAGTTAAATGAATGCATGTAGTCGTGTCGTGTCATAAGCATAGAACGACGTATAAGTAATTAAAATTTTTCCATATTTTATCACTCGTATTAACAAACAAAGCTTGTCGTACAAAAAACTTAATACTTTCTTAAAAATGAAAATAAAATTGAGTTGAATTTGTTAGTTATCTTATGCTTGATAATCAAATCTAAATGCAATAATAATTGACTCTTTGTTTGTGTACTGTCCATTTATTTAAATCGTAGAGAGTGTTGGAAAAAAGGTGAAAACAAGTATTTATTGTAAAATATTTGAGTATATTCAAGGTCACTATGGAGCTCTTTAGTGTTTTTATAATAAATAATATAAGTCGAAATAACATCGAAATAACTGGACTCTTCCTTATTTTACTCATGATCCTTACTGTGTGCACTTGCTGTTCATTTATTTTGAAAAATATTGATTCTTAATTATTACAAATTCTAAATGGTGCCCGTGCTTGGTACAGCAACTTTGTTAAAGTCTTTTAAGAAAACAAACACTTTTTTTGTTTAAAACTGTTGGTATAAATATAAATGTATAAGTCATTAAATATAAGACATTTCCAGTCAGACTTTTTAGCTTAATACATATTAACTCATATTTTACCTGAAAACCTTAAATACGCTGTATTAAATAAGTATACTAATAATTCTTTGACTACAGTTATTCGATTACTTTATGTATCACGAGATAAATTTTTTGTAAATGCACATATTTATAGTAACATTATTCTTACGTTGTTTTCACTTATGTGATATCCACATAATTTGACAATATTATAAGATTATATTTTAGACACTTGTAAAGTTCTCTGATATTATATAGTTATATGTTGATTTACTAAAAAAGTATGTATAAAAAATAAAAATCAAAATTGAACTCTAAATTTTGGATGGCTGCCGCTGTTGGACGTCTGCAGTGTAGTGTATAGCTTTATTGAGGACATATAGCTTTTTGTTAAACATGTATGTGATCTAATGACTCAGTATTTTAGTAAAACAGTTCACGTTAAGACAAAATCTAGCTTTAATTGTGAGAGCTTCTGACAATAACTGTGTATGCTGTTTAATAAGGTAGCATAAAATAATACAACAGTACATGAAAGTAATTGTTGAATGGTCATAAAATATTTAAATAGAAGATTTTAACAATGCATTAAGACTATTTTTGTAAATATCTCATTCTAAATTGTAACGTATATTTTTTTTGCTAATTTTAGGTCTTGTAAAACTAGGCATTCACTGTGTCACTGGAAAAAAAGTAGCAATCAAAATAATTAATCGTGAAAAGTTATCAGAGTCTGTGTTAATAAAGGTCGAAAGAGAAATAGCTATTATGAAGCTAATAGATCATCCACATGTATTAGGACTGTCAGATGTTTATGAAAATAAGAAATACTTGTAAGTATACATGATCTTATAATTTATAATCATTATAGCTTTTAATAACCATCTGTTCGACTGCAGTGAATATCAGGTGTTCCAGGTGTTTACCAAATTTCTCTGCTCATGTAGCGTTATATCAATTTTCAGTACTTAATCCAATGAAAAACTAGTAAGATATATGAAGCAGAGAAAATATAATACCAAGAGTATCTTATTTTATTATAATAGAGTGAATGAAATAGAATGGATTTATTTGTTTATATTACTTGACATAAAGTGAAAGAGTCTTGTTCGCACGAGAGTTGAAAATACACTCAAAATACATGCATATAAGACATATGTATATTCCTATATTTTATAGTAATTTTGGCATGCCTATCCATACTTCTTCTCCTTGGCTCTTCTTTATTGATATTTGACCCCACGTCAACGCCCCACAAATAAGGAAAAGTTTTTCCTAATTTTAATGGAAAATTAACCAAATAATTTTTGTATTTAACTTTTTTCAGTCATAATTCAACCACACTGAATACATCCTTACGTTTTTTTTCTTCCCTCTTTTTCTTTATCAAAAAAAAAAAAAAAAATCTTCTATAAGATAGGTTTATATTTATTCCAAATATTTTCACTAAAAATTCCTAAGCCAACATATTGGTTGTAGCTTCCTTGAGAACATCATCACTGAAGGTGTCATATTTCATTAATCTTATCGCTATAGCAGTATCTTTATGTGTTTAAAAAATAATTTTTTTTTTATATTCTTGAGATATAACAATGATGTCACCTTTTAACTTTAGTTACTATTCATTTTAAGCCGAATTGTTTAATCTTTCTTCCAAGAACCATATTTAATCTTCGAATAGCAGTGTTAAGATGAATCAATTGATGTGATGTAATTTTCAAAATGAATTATAATCTTCTGGTACCATTGGCACGCAGAGCACGCAGGGGGTAAGTCTGAATATATATAAGTGGGCTTGTTCCCTTTCGCGCTCTGTTTGCAAAGATCCCAGAAGACTTTGATTCATTTTGCAAAACATATTAAAGTATTAAATTCATCCTTTTATTGCTATTGAAAAATTCAAAGCTAATTTTATATATGTATAAAATGTTTGTATAATACTATATATGTGTGTACGCGCGCGTGCATGGGCGTGCGTGTCTTCTTGACAATTACTGCACAGGAGGTAGAGACCAACATTACGTATATATACATATATATATCTCTACTAGTATGGCATGCTTTGCGTACTAATTCATCCAGAGTTTTTTAAAATAAAAAATTTAATAACTAAACATCTACAAAAGTTGTATGACATTATTTTACTATATTTTTAAAATAGCATATACTTAAGATTAATTTATTCCGAGATGAAAATTTAAGATTAAGAAGAAAGTAAAGTTGAAAAGATATTGTAAATGCAAAACTGAATGCTTATAATTTATATTATCCGTAAAATCAACTATTTTCGGATTTTTTAATTTTATTAATTTATCAGATAAGTCATAACTTGGTTGCTGATTAAATTTACTTTTTTAATGAAAAAATATTCCAATCAGTAATATATGTAGTAGTCCAAGATTAAAAATTATTATTGACAGACACATATTTCTTACTTTGATAAATTTACTCAATATAAAGGGAAAATGAAATAGACAACATATAGTAAAGACTTTTACAAGGGCGTGAGATGAAAAATCAATTACGATACGATAATATTGCATTACATAAAACGTAAGTTTAAATAGTAGTTCAACGCCAGCTTGTGTATGAGGCACTTACACTACAGCATACATATTGTTCGGTGGAATCGAACACCACAACACTGAGTCAACAATTTAAAAGATTTTGTTAGTAAAAGCGCATAAGGCTTTTAGGTCACTGGCTTGTTTCTGACAAACACAATTTTATTTTTTTTTTTATTTTTTCTCAATTCTTTTATTTTCTTCCTTTATTTATTTTTTAAAATATTTTTCATAAAATGGATCAAGCAATTGAGAATATAAGCAAAGTAGCTGATGCAGCTAGAAAGGTACTGTTACTAAAACAGTACAATAGTGCAGGGAAAGACGAAAAATCACTTGAATTTCTTGAAAAATGGGGAGAAACTGTTCACGATATTCATAAAAGAATCTCTTATCTTATTTATAAAGGCGCTAGAGTAGCAAAAATTAAAGCCACTTCCAATAACATTCCTGAACACTAATAGCCTGACTCCAAGTTGTATCTATGAATAGTTGGCCACAAAGCATTTATGCGAGGCCTACCCGATGGATTCAAAGCCAACATAATTTGAAAAGTACGAAACATCTCTGTTGGTGCTTTTCAGGTAGCTTTATGAGCCAAAGAAGTTGGAAAAATATTATATATACCCCAACATACACCCCAATACATACCAAAATATACCTGGATACTCACGCTATTAAGTACCATCAGAAATCACTTATGTTACTTGCTCAGCAGTTACACCCTATAGCAATACGAAATCTATTAGTTTACCAACAAATCTGACAGTAAAACTTTTCATATTTTTTGCCCAATCAAAAGAATTGACAATCTGTTTGATATAACGGTTCCAACATGTACAATCGCAATCATATATTTTAATAATAACACTAAAGTAAATTATTAGCCTATCTGAATTTCTCCATTTACACAAGCTTGTGTATTTGGCAACTTGTCTACTTTTCCGATGATAAATTATCCAAGTACTTCCAAAAACGCTGGGATACCAGGAGAATCACGACACGACACTGCCTTTCGCTCAAGGTCAAATTCTTTTAATAGTAAACGAGATTTCAGACTTAATTTTTCTAAACCAAGCCATAGTTTAAACGAAACGGTGCATGTCTCCCAGACGCAGCAGGAAGCAAAGAACTGAATTAGCTTTCACTGACGGAACAATTTGTGTAATTGTCCGAGTGTCCGTTGCAAGAAACATTAGCAGTACACTGACAGTACGACTTAAAATTTTACAATTAAATTTAAGTTAAGACACTTTTATCATAGATACAGTAGCTGACATCAATGCCATAAAAATGTCGTCATTACTAAGAATTGTAAGTATAAAGATTGAAACAAAAAGGACTCTCATTGGATTAACTTTTTAAAATGTCATAAAATTAAAAACAGTAAAGTTGATTATAATTGATAAAAATCATGTTCTCAACGTATTATCATCAAAAACACCCTTTAGTAAGACAGGAATATTAGAAAACTTTTTTACTAGCTACACGGGTATACATACCTGTGCTTAAAGAAAACTATTCATGATATATTTATAGGCGAAGCAGCAGTAACATATGACAGAGCTTGCTGTTTTACAATGGCTGTTAGCACTAGAGAGAAGCCTGTGAAAAGCAAAAGCTGTTCTCAAAATTTTGTATCTTTCAATTAAAATGACTCAGAAACATTCCTCAATTGAAATTTTAGTGTTAATGTCCTCAGCATGAAATAAAGTAAAAAAATTGAATACATAACAGAAAAACTTTGCTGATGCCGTCATATTAAGACCAGTTATAAAAAACTTTGCAAAGTTGTAAGACAGTATTTACATCCATATTATAAAAAATGCAATTTCTGCTGCTCCACGTACATCGTATACCTAACACTAGCAGCCCCCCGTCTCGGCTTTGCCCGAGACTTACTAAATAAAACACCGTAGTGTGTTGATATGTAATGTGAAACGTTTTAGGTTAAAAATCTTACACATATTCCTGACACATCTCAAAATAAAAATCTTCTTATTAGAAACATATTTTTTCGAAACCCATACAGTTTATTTGGTCAAATAATGAGGTGTAAAAATTCAAAAAATATAATTATGCTGAAAAGTACCGTGCGTTCTTTATGCCATAAAATAATCGGTGACCATAAGAAGCCGTTAATTTGCAGTTTCACTTGTGTAATTCACGAAAAGTACTATTTTTTAAAGCTGTTAAGATCTTGAACTCCCAAAAAATTCATATTAAAAAAAAATTTTTTTTCTCTTATCTCACAACTTTATTACCAGAGCAACAAAGTCCTGGACCTTACACCCTACATTTTTTATTGCCACAAAAACACAAATACGTTTTCTACTTATTTAAAAATCTGAAGTAGAATCATCAAAGATTTCAGAGATTGTTGTGAGGGTACAATGAAAAGCTGATCTCTCACGTAATGGATTCTTTATTTGTCGATTTTGACGCTGCAGTTCGAATATCGATAAATTTTCTGCGTCAGTTTCTTGACGCCTAAGTAAAATTGTATTTATTAGATACATTTTAAGTTTTTCTTCCAATTCATCCTCTTGCGACTTTGGGCATGCTTAAAATTTTTGTGACTCCTAAAGGCTGTTTTCTGTCAACTTTGTTAAGTTCTAATATATTTGTTGGCAAGGTAGTTCAACCTCTGATGGCCCTAAAAAATAACGATAAGGTTATCATGTAAACTCTTTCTTGACTTCAGTTAACAGCAATTGTGACTGCCTGAATACCTCAGGGTGATCTTCTCTGGCCTGCTGTTGAAGACCCAGACTGATCAGGAGGAAAATTACAAAGTCCGAAGCTTTGGGGCTAGTTGTAGTACTCTTTCCCAACGTCTTCCGGTATAACGTCAAAGACGTTGGTGTCTAAAGAACCTTTTTTATTTGCAGATTCAGTTGTTTTGGTGATCTTAGATAGGGAGATTGGTTAGTGATACTCGTCCAGTGGAGGCGATCCCGTTGGCTAAAACTTTTTTTCCTTCATAGCTGTTATAGGTTTGCCCAGCGCAGACCTTGGAGAGGATCAGTGATTCCTGGTTCAATGCTTAGAGTCGAGAGGGTAATACATGTAGGGTTGTCAGTCACCGGGTTTTCCAGCCTTGCGAAGAACAACTCCGCAGGTGACGTCTGCCAGTGAAAGGCTGACTTCGTATAATAGTTTAATAGTGCCCGTCTTTAGTTAATATAGTCTTTTAGTTGACAAATCGCTTCCAGAAATGGTATTAAAAATGTATTTGTTAGCAAAGTAGTTTACACTTAGGTGGCCCC